AGATCTCGACAGAAGCTCCCCTCAACAGAGACAGGGAGAAGAGTGGGGAAGGTGTCGAGAAGGGGCCAGAAACACTCTCTTTCCTGGACTTCAGTGTCCCTTCCACATGCAGGACGTGTCATTTACCAGGAGCTGCACTGCGGCCTGGCGACTGCTTGCAATGGGTCACCGTAAGGCTTCCCCTTATTTCTTTTCCAACTACTCCCCTCCTCGCTGCCCCACATCATTTAGTTGCTGAGACTTGAAGGTAGTCTTTCTTCGTTTTTTGTCCTGTGAGTGGTAGCCTAGGTGATCAGGAGGGTTCTCCGCCCCCCCACCCTCGTTTAAATTTTACCGGGACAGGGAAAGGAGTGCTAAAATGCAGTTTCTTTCACATCGATTCAAAGGCGGGCAAAGGTTGGAGCAAGGACAAACGCGCCTCACCCGGGTCTCGCTGCCGGAGCAGACAAGGCGGGCACTGGACTAGGACTTACCTGGTGGGTGCGCTCGTGCGGGAGTCCCAGCCTTGCCCGGGCAGCAGAAACAATACTCCAGATCACCGATCGCCCACTGCAGTACTGTTCCCGCTGCTAGGGCACGGCTGAGTGTTTGCACAGCAACCCCTTTCTCTGTGCGCGCGTGGCCCCGACCATCCCCAGCCCCCAGCCCCCCGGGCGAGCAGTAGCGCTCTCCTTGGATTCTCGGAGCCTCGTGGGAGATGAAAGGGCCGAGAGAAGAGGAAGAGAGATGCAAGCCTCCGCTCACCTACCTGTTCCAGAGCTGGCCTGAGGAGCCGGTGCTCCGCGGGAACGCATGCACGTCTAGCAAAACCCCACCTTCCTACTTCCTCACAAGGGGGTATAGCAGCGCCTCACGTTTTGAACCATTTAAAGCACTTCAAAACATGAATTGCTGCTGCATCCCCTCGGAGTCAACGAAGGAGGATCGCTCTGGGGTACCTGCAGGTGGAGAAAGACAAGGTGACTGGAAGGAAGACCCCCCTCCCGCCCGACGGCGAGGAATAAAGCAAAACGTCAGTCCAAATCGACATACTTTTTAGAAATTTGATTTCCAGGATCAGCAGGTGGAGTGAAGAATGTTACTCGATTTCTTCTTTTTTTTCCCTCAGAGGATGAATCTTGGAAAAGTGTAGTGGTGAAAGGCAGAGGGCTGAGGGAGAGAGGAATTAGGGTGGGAAAGAATCTTACTTCTGAAGGAAAGAATAGTAAGAAAAGAAATTGAGGCAATTTGGCAACATCTGGATCACTCTTGCCTGCTTCAAAGTCTTCCTGAAACTTCTTCCTGGTGTATGTTATAAATAAGCCTCACTCAGTGTCCCCACTAAAAAAACAATAATTTTTCGTTTATTGACTTAAAAAAGATCACCAAAATGTCTTTCGTGGCTTCAGCTGATTTTAACATATATGATGGTTGGGAAATACAGATCCATCCCTAGAAGCATGAGATGTCCTCTTGAACTCACCAGTGCTTCCTTATTACAGCAAACACCCTGTCTTGACTTCTCTTTAAAGGTATTAAAGAATGAGCGATAACTGTTCTGAGATGAAATATCTGGATGTTTACATATGAAACTAACTCAAACTTATTCATAAATAATTTGTACCTTTTAATATCAGCTATCAAAACACAAGTCAAAAAGTTTAAATACTTGATGTCAGATCAGTCCTTCTTGTCTCAAGCAGTTCCCCAGAAATGCTTTCCCGTTCTGAAATGGCCGGCACTGTGCATACTCCCTAATGATTAACTCATTACATACCGCTTTTTCCTTTTAAAAACGGACACACATTAGCAATAAGTTACACGCATCCTTTCCCACAGTGTTTAAACGGAATAGTCAAGTAGAAGGAAATAAATCTGTAACTCTCAATCACAAACCTGTAAGTTAAAACAACACAACTAGTACAAAATGCTAATGGTTTTGAAAGTTAAAATACGTTTTGATACAAGTAATAGACACGACAAGTATTCACGTCTGTTAAGTGTTTTGGTTCATTTAAAATTTACATCGGTTTTTTAAAACAAGTATAATGGATGCTGTGTCCTGTTTATTAGATGATAAAACGTTCAGAGTATTCAGTGAGACTAATTACAAAATTCATAACACCAGACTGAGAACCAGTGTTACCAAACGCACTACTTATGGTAAACTAATTTATTAATAACTCGTTCCCTAAATTGGGACATACATTTAAGTGTCTGTAAATTCCATCTTGTTTTGGCTATGCTATTTACAAACAACTCTCACTTTTGGGATTAATGGAGATAAACGTCCTTGGTTGCCCTTAAAAAGAAAGAAAAAAAAAACATGTTTAGCAAATGTACAGTTTTACTTTAAAACTCCACAACCTTCTCCCAATTAAATATTTATGCCCCACACAAATATGAGAACCCTCACATCAGATATTAAAGTCATCCCTCATTTAACATTTCCTTAGTTGACTACTTAGAAAAACAAAAGTTCATTCGAAATAGCAATGGTGTCAAAGGCGAAGGTCCCTTCCAGATTGCTCTGCCAGCTCACTGGAATCGAATTCATTTGTACCTGTCATTTAACCCGTTTTTTCTCTCCCAGTGACAGTACAACGACTTACGTTCCTAAAAAGCCACTTCACTCCCCTAGTTTATGGATTTCCCCTTAGATTAAAGTTTACTTACGAAAAGAGATTACAAAGAGGCGTCTTGTCACTTCAGAAGAGAGTCAGTCGCTGATACAATAGACAAAGAATCGATACTTTCGAGTTGCCCATGGCCCCACCCACCCCTTCTGAACTGCACTGTGTTGGGCCAAATCATTTAAGAGCCAAAGAACGCGCCTCTTCCACTGTTCATATTTTACAACGTTTTGTCTTAACTTTGCAGATGCCTTCTTCCCCCCCACCACAAACACCATGTACCTTCCCTTGGCTCATTCATGCCGACTTTCCCAACGTCATGTTTCCTACAGGGAAAACTAAACAACCTTGAAAGTTTTAGTTGGGAAAAGACAGTGCAAAACTAATCACCCATTTATTTCCAAGACATATTTTACGGCTTACAAATAATAGCCACGAAAAATTCATGTACAGTCCGTCAAAACCAGTGGATCCCGACTCTAGCGAGGCTGACAAGTGGTCACAGCCCCTTACTCGATTTTCTCTCCCCACCCCTCCATCTTAGCTTTTTCCAGCCCGTTTCCTAAGAATTCTCCCAGCCCACTCATGTGTCTGTTTCGTCCGCACCCCGGCCCCCCAACATGCTTCACAATCCCAAAGCAGAACATAACTTTTTCAGCGTGGTAACTCGCTTTTTTTTCAGTCTGGCGTAACCAACGTGATTAAAGGGAGAAATACCAGCCAAAAAGTCCCTTTTAAAAAAATCGCATGTCACCTCTCGATCCACTCGAAAATGGCGCCGAAATCGAAGAATTTCTTAAATTTCATTGTCAGCTTTTTGCAAAGGTTTCTGGGATTTTCCTGCGAAGCTGCTTCGCCGCGTCTGAGAGCTAGCGAACGAGCAAGCAAGCAAAAGAGAGAGGGAGGAATGGAGGGGGTGCGGAGGGGTGAGACAGACAGACAGCGAGAGAGCGGGGCCCGGGAGGGGAGCGGGGTCGGGGCTTGAGGTGGGCGAGGGCGCGGGGAGCGAGGGACCGGGTCCCGAGCCATAGGGACCGGAGCCGGGCGCGGAGAGGCGGGAGCCCGGGGCCGGGGTTCAGGGTGGCGGCGCGGGAGGGCGCGCTCCTGCGTTGGCTGCAGCCGAAGCTCGGAGAGCGGCGTGGCGGAGGCGGAGCGGAGCGGAGCGCGGGACCGGAGCCGCGCGCACCCTGGGAGGCAAGCTGGGCGGCCGGCGGAGAGCCTCCAGCAGCGGCTCTAGAAAAAGCCGGCTCCGGGGGCGTGGCCACGCGGCGCCCACGCCCCCCCCTTCGGCTAGCAGCTCCCGGCCCGGGGGCGGAAAGGGGGAGGGGAGGTGGGGAGGGCTGGGGGGGGGGGCGGGGTGTGTGTGTGTGTGTGTGTGTGTGTGTGTGTGTGTGTGTGTCGGCGCTCCACGCCTCAACCTTGGCCCGCAGCCGGGATGGGGCCGAGAAGGGCATGGGGCATCCAGCAGAGCCGCTACAGAGTCGAAGAGCCGGGGTTCAGGGAGAAAAAAGAATGGGACACGGCAAAGCCATGGGCACAGGGTCGCGCGGCGCGCACCCAGATGTGTAGGACGGACGCCACCCCGCGCCCACTGGTCCCCTTGCGGTGCCCCCTGAGCTGCCCGTAGGGAGCGAGGTGACTGAGCAACGCCCCTGGCGCTGTGCCGGCTGGGGGTGCCTGACTTGTTAGGAGAGGAAACGGGGGGGGTGCTTCGGACCGCGTGAGCGTAGCGCTTTACCCAAGAGTTTGAGGCCAGCCCAGTGGGGACTCCCCTGCCCACGCCACCCCTCCAAGCCCTCGGGGAGAGCGGCCCCGGGGCGGGCCCCGTACTTGCAGGCCGTCCGCTGGGGGCACAGAGCCCGGAGGATGGAACAACTGTCTGCACACGTCCCGGTCCAAGAAGGGGAAACAGTTTTAGGATTGACCCGGGGCAACAGGAGGGAAATGAGCCCTTATTGTAAATGCTAACGGCTGTTAGGGACGGAGAGTTGATTTTCTTCGATGAGAATAGTGAGAATAGTATGGAAGGTAAGTAGGAGGATGCACTTAGAAGATGAAGGCTGGAGTGGAGAGGTGAAATGTCACCGTGTCTGCAGTTTTCAGATGATACAGCCTACACACGCGCACATTGTGCCAGACAGAGGAAGCGAGTGTTATAGTGTGTTAAGTTGTTACATCCAGGTGGGGGATAAGTGGACGTTTGTTGTACTGTTCTTTCAACTTTCCTGTCTACTTGCAAAATGTCATAATAAAAAATTTGTGAGAACTCGCTCTCCTCGTTAAAAAAAAAAAAAAACAAAACAGCTCCTGAATGCTGTCTAGGAAAAGGAGCGCGACTCCTTTCTCCCTCCCTGTCCCGGGTGGGACAAATCTGTCAGCACACAGGGCTCAGACCAGCGAGTTCTGGACGGGAAGGGCAATGGGTAGCGCTGGCCGGCAGCGGCCACCGCCCCGGACACGGGACGCAGGCCCGGAGGCACCTGGGGGCCTCGGGGCAGGTGGGCGGCCGGGGGCACAGCGCGGCGGAGGAGCTGCCGAGCGCGCCGGTCTGGGCAGGGGGCTCCGCGGGCGACTCAGCCAGGCCGGGTGCGACTCCGACTCGCTCGGCTCAGCTCTGCCCAGCCGCCCGCGCGGCGGACGGACTAGAAAACTGCTGGGCCGCGGAGAGCTGGAGCCGCGCGCCTGACGCCGCTGCCGCGGCCCGGGTCCCCCACGTTCACCGAGGGTGGCCAGGGCTGTAGCGGCCTGCGCCCTGAGCTCGGGGTGGTGGGGAATCGCGCGCTGCACTGGAAAAAAAATCAGGTGCTGAAAGAAAAAGAGCAACACATACACCACACACACACACACACACACACACACACACACACACGAAATCAGTATACAAAAATAAAACCAAGGATTCTGCCTTACTCGGCGCTCAAGTTTCTTGAGCTACTTAACTCTCGCATGCATTTTCCTGAGGTTTCTGGAGCGCCGATGTCAACTCTTAATTTCTTTGCAAGGGCGATCTCGCAGACCCGAGGCGCTGCAAGTGCTGCGCGGCCTGTCCCTTGCCTCTGCGGCTGTTTTCTTTATTTTTTTAGAGGTGGGGGGCGGGAGGGAGAGTAGACTCTTACAGGGTTTGCAAAACTATTTTCAAAAATTAACCAAAAAGATTTTACAGGCCAAGGTTTGATTTTCAGGAAAGGTTTTAAGACTGCAGTGACGTGTAAGGGTTTGGTGGGTGCTAAGAAGTTATTTCTAAACGATAATTTCCCTCTGAAAGTTTTCAGAATGCTTCGTGGACAGGGCTGAAAGTTTGTCGGGCTGTCAGACGTGACTGAACAAGCTTCTAAATCCTCAGATAGATCATTTTAAAAGCTCCAGTGTCCTTGGGGTGAAAGACTTTTTCTGGGCTTTTAAGGCTCGGCTTCGTGGGTAATTTGCTTGGGTTGATCTAACTGCGCGCAAGCGTGTATTCCCCTCCTTGGATTAGCAGAAGGGCAGACGATTCCAGCACTATAAGATAAAAGTGGAGTTTGTGGCACGTCCTCCAAAGGGGGGAAAAAAAGCAAGTTTCCTTTATTAAACTCTTCTTGCTACATCAGCAAATTAGAGAGCCAGTTGAATATTGATGAATGCTTTGAGGGTGAGTAATATGGCTACAGGCCGCAGAAAGTGAGGGCGGGTAAGCTAAGTATTTACTCAAGTGAACAATCTTCGAGTATTTTTCAAATATGATGTCTTAAGGATTTCCTTAGGTTTTCTTAGGACCTCTGAAACAAACCCTGATTCTGCAAATGGCTTCTCATTTTAGTAGGCCCTTCCCAACCTCACAAAACAGAAGTTGCTCTAAGAGTCGCTTAGAAACTCAGCCTGGCAATAAAACCCAGCCGCAGCCCACCAACCCCCCGATGTCAAGGAGGGAACTTCTCGCTGGGCAACCTGGGACCCCCAAATGAAGTGGACACCATTCATTATTTGTTTTTTTTTTTTTTGGTCGTTTCTGAAATTCAGCTTCAAAGCAGGTATTTTCAGGAAAATAGCACATATTTTTTTTCCTCTCTGAAACATTCAGAAATTACCTTGATAAGAAATAATTCTAGTCAGCCGTGGGAGGAGAGTTTTAAAAAAGCTTTGAAGGTTCTGAAGGTGCAGCTGAGGAAAATAAATTAGCCCTAGACTGGAGAAATTCAGCAAGGAAGTAACCCATAACAAGGTATTTAGAAGAATTTTTGGAAAGTGTTTTCTGAAAAGCAATTGCAAACAAATCTTTGGAATTAGATATTAGGAAAAGGAGTTGAATTGAAAATCTTTTTTACACTGTAAACAAAATGTCTAGAACTTAGCATTTTCATTTTAACCAGAAGTGTCTTTTATGATTATGTTTTTCACGAAGGCCTTGAGTTAGGGGAACAATATTTTCCTTATGTTGTAAATATCCAGAAGTCTTCAGAGAGATAAAATCAGGATAGAGTTACAGATTTAACAGAAAGAAAACAACTGGAATTGTGTTATGAAGCTTCTACTGTGTTATTTGTAAAAGCTTTTTTTTTTTCAGGGTTCAAGAAAAGGCTAGTAGTGAGCAGAAATAATAGACTCATGCCTGCCCTACTGTCAGATTTAACAAAAAAGATAGTGCACCTTAGTAATTTTTATTTTATTTTGAGAAATTGGTTGTGATAAAAAATAGCTCTTTGCAAAACTTAGAACTTTGCGGGGGGGGGTGGGTGGGAAGTGTCAAATCTTAACTTCTCCCAACCCCATGATCTCACCAGGAAAAAGTAGAATAAATTAGTAAATTTTTCCTTTCTGCCAAGGAGGAGCTTAGTAAGTCCTTGATGGCTGTTGCTTTTGATTTCGAAGTCTCTTTTCAAAGATGCAAAATCACTGCCTTCAATGCTGCTGGGATTTCTTCTTTAAACAGTGCATGTTTTTCTTGTTGGGTGTGCACTATTATTGTCTTAATTATTCCTGGATTTTGGCCCATGAAATCAAAGACTCTCTCAGATGACAGAAATGATCGGATCTTTGCACAAAGGAAGGCCACAGTGGAGGGGTGGAGGGTGACTTCAGTCTCTACACTGTGCTGGCCCTACAGGGTCCTCATCCTGTAAGCCAGCTGGACTCTCCTTTGCACCAGGGTGAGCTCACAGCACAGTATAATGACAGGGGCATGGAGATGAAAGCCCACCTCCTGGACAAGATTTGGTCGCTTGCTTTCACCGTAAACATTATGATCAATTTCTAATCTTACACTTCTAGCACTTTCTTTGAGCCTTATTACCTAATTATACAGAAGAAATAAAAACAAAAACTCAGTATAGAGCAATGTCAACATGTCAAATGCAATTGGATTCAGGGAAGCTGAAGTGCATTTGGACAGTTGGTTACTCCTTTTATATCAAAAAAATTTCTTTTAAAGCTCCAAATTGGCCAGCACCAAGGAGGTGCTGTCAAAAGCACAGAGCTCCCCAATTCGGAACAACTTCACTTTTAGGATCTTGCTACTCCTGGGGGAAAATAATATCTCGCTGGGCAGAGATAGGAGGAGGGGACAGGAAAGTGAACAGTGCTAAGGGATGCTATCTTTGTTTGAAACCAAGATGTATTTTCCAAACCATGAAATATTTGTTGAAATAGGAAAGGAAGGAAAGTCAGTGTGTATAACTGAAGCATTAATATTAAAGCTATTAATGCCAAAATATCCAGAACTTCTTCTTCTTGTGTCCATAACATAGCTGTTTGCATTAAAAAAATATTTAAAAGACTTAATACGTAGAGTTTCTAGGACTGGTGGGAAATGTCGTTTCTTTTACCTCTTGTCTCTTAAAATAATTCTTGGGTTTAAAATCAGGTGGGATTTCACAGTAGCTAATGATCAGGGTGAGCTCCATCCATTGTCAGGAAATGGAGCTGGAGATCTGGGTCCAGTTTTCCATTTTAGCATGTGCCCTAAACCCAGGGCTTCAGCAGCTTCCTTAGCTCAGCGTCCCCAAGGAATGCTTAGGCCTCAGGCAAGGAAAGAGGAGGGAGGCAGAGAATAAGGGCAAGGACAAAAAAGAGAAAGGAGGAAGGTGAAAGAAGAAAAAGAAAATCAAGTCCTTCCCCTCATTCTTTCTCTGTCTTCTAATGCAAACCCTTAACTTGCCACCCCTAGGTCACCAAGGTAACCTTCTCAGGCTCCCTGTTCATCTCCCAGCTTAGTTTGGCCCCTCTCACTCTAGTTCCTTAAGTTCAACTCTAAAAACACAATTCTGATCATATTGCTCCTTGGCACTAAAAAATCACACAACCAAAGTGTAGTCCTTGAATGTGGCCTTCAAGGCTGTCTCCAGCCTGGCTCTGATCTGCCCCTCTAGTTGTACCCCTCCACCCTCCAGCCACAGCTTCCTTTTTATCCTTCCATGCAGGAGATTTTTGCTCTTCTCATTTCCTCATCCCTCAAGGCTCAGCCCAAATGCCATCTCCTCCCTGAAGCCTTCTCAGATGATCTCAGGTTGGAGTTAACTGCCTCTGGCCTGTCCCGTCACAGCACATTAATAAAGCTAGTCATTCTAAGTCTCTTCCTAGCAGATAGGAAGCCCCTAGAAGGTAAGGACATGCCCATCTATGGATCTCTTCTCAGAACTTTGCACAATTCCTTGTGTCAGTTGGTGTCCAATGCAGATTTTCAAATAAATGCTACCTAAGAAGGGAAAAGAGATGGAGGGAGTGAGGGGAATGTCGTGTTGTGTCGGTGGTAAAGCTTGTGGCCAATATCCTCAACAGTTGGCTTAGGTGCCCTTTGGTCCCCTTGGCGCCAAGGATTGTCTAACCCAAAGCCAACATGGTTGCTTAACAAGTTGGTCTGATATTGACATTTGAAACTCATCCCCTTTAGTAATATGGAATTAGTTTATTTTAAATTAGCTACTCAGGACTAGAAACCCTCTCCTGAAAAACTACCTCCATCATTTGATTTATTCTTGTTTTTTATTTTTTTGTCTGTGAGGCACAGTGTATGGGATCTTAGTTCCCTGACCAGGGATCAAACCCGTGTTCCCTGCATTGGAAATGTGGAGTCTTAACCCCTGGCCCACCAGGGTGGTCCCCCACCATCATTTCATACTTTTAAGTTTCAAGCTGATTTTTGAAGGGAAATTGCAATTTGAATGGAATGGGGAAAACAGTATGTTCAGGGACCTGCAGATAGAGAAGAGTTAAAAGGAGAGAGACTCAGAAAAACAGAGGCTATCTTGTGGGGAATTAGTTGGAGGTTGAACTGGACAAATAACGTCTGCCCCTCCAGGACAAATAGATTAGAGGGGTGTGGAAGTAAGCAGAGGAGTCTTGATTTAATTATGGGACCTGAGGAGTCTTTGAAGGGCCTTGAGGAGTGTGATGTAATGAAAACTGTTTGCAATAGATTCACTGGGCTTACCTGGTAACTCTACAAACTAAAACTGTGATAAACCTAGGACGATCGGAACCATTGGAATATCCTCGTCTTCATGCACACAGGAGTGAGTTTTCTTACTGGAGAAGAGAGCAGATGGAAAAATACTGCTTCATATATGCCTACTGTGTATCAGGTGATGTGCTAGACTTTTTTCCCCAGCAGCTTTTCTTTTTCTTCCTCTCCCTACCCCCCTTCCTTCCCTCTTCTCTATTTCTCAGACAACTGCATAGGCCCCCACCAAAATATACACCCCTGCCCCTGACTAGGACTTGACTGGCCTTTAAGGATAATCAATTTCCTGTGACATTAGTCATAAAAATATGTTTTAAAATGCCAGTAAATATCAGGCAAAAAAAATTTCACCAAAAGAATACAGAAATTAAAAAAAAAAGAATACAGAAATTAAAAAAAAAGAATACAGAAATTTAACCTCATGTGCTGATTTGATGGAACAGAGGAATGGAAACACACCTTCTGGACTGAGGCTAATCGTTTTGGAGTGATGGCAGAGCTTCAAACTGAAGAATGTTTTTTTTCATGGGCAGCTAAAAAATTGCCATTAAATATTTTCAAGAAGTTAAAACAACACTGAAAGCAACTTGGGCAACTTAAATATTCATTGTAGTTGCTGTAACCAAATATCCCAACATATTTGAGCTTAGGTGCTTCAATATAATCAGAAAAGTGTGATTTCTCTATAGCTTGGTAGAGCAAAAATTAAGCAGATGAAATATGAAATGAACACGAGAATTAATTTGTAGCTTGGATCATAAAAGCCAGATTTTTGAAGAGATAATTTTATTTTGATTGCAGACTGTAAATTATTATAGGGAGTTAGTGTAGGAATGACATTGAGGCTTACTTTTGGGTCAATTTGTTCCCAACTTGACCCTCTGTTGGTAGTGGGGAGGGCTGAGGTTTCTCTAACCCCAAAGAAACCAGTCTCACTATGGCTTTAGGACTTGGCTTTAGGACTTACTTCTCTTCTCCTCACACTGGCTTTCTTTCAGTATGTTGTCATGTAAATGCAGTTTAGAAAACAGAATAAATATTCTATGGGCATTACTTGGAAAATAAACTTTTAAAGATGTGTATGTATTTAAGTTGTAGAGTTACAACTCAAAAGAATTCTTGCTAGAAAGAAATACGTATTTGGCTAAAAGTCAAAAATTTTGAAGTAACTTTAAAAGGTGAATAATTTACATTAGCCTGGTGTTTATATAATAGGGTGTGTGTGACAAAGTTAAAATAACATTGAAAATAACTTGAGTCATTTAAATATTCCTCCTGGTAACTGTAGAATATAAGTGCTTTTGAAGGGGGGAGTGGTAAGTTTTTAGACAGCTGGCAGGGATTTTTTTGTGTGTTCCTTTACATTTGAAAACTGGTATTAGCATTTAATTCTCTGACTCAGAGCAATTCCCCCTTGCCTGTCAGAGAACATCTACAAATGAAGGCTGACGGAGCTAGGCAGGGAAGGGCAAGCCTGTCATTTCATTTCCGGGAACTTGTTTATGAAGACTCCTGCAATCCCCCACCTGCTCAGACCCTGTTAGCCCCTCTCAGTTCCTGCTGTTTAATAATTCTGGGAGCTACTCTGATTTCATTGTATTACCCTTCAGATAAGTTACAGGAACTTCATCATTGGCCAAGCCAGATGGTTGTGGATTGGATAGGAACAAAGCAAAAAAAAAAAAAAAAAAAGAAAGAAAGTAGTAATGGGAAGATTGATTTTGGGAAGCATTGTGTTAGTATATATATATAAAAATCAATGAGCAAAGTCCCCTGCCTCTCAATTTTGAAGTTGGCTAGTGCCATATATATATATATATATATATATATATAGTGTGTGTGTGTGTGTGTGTGGCTCAGTCGCTCATTGTGTCCCATGTTTTGTGACCCCATGGACTGTAGCTTTCCAGGTTCCACTGTCCATGGAATTTTCCAGGCAAGAATACTGGAGTGGGTTGACATTTCCTTCTCGAGGGATATATAAAAAATATGTGCATACACATATATATGACTCAGATTCCCCCATCTCCCCACTCCCACTGAGTTGCATTAGGACATCGTTGGTCTGATCTGAACTAGCATCATCATTTATGTTATTTGATTTACCTTTTACACTTTTCCCCTTTCGCTTTAAATGTCTTCAGCAATGTCGTCTTAGAAAAATAAATAGAAGCTTCCTCTGGAATACTTTTCACCAGTCAGTCGGGCTTGTAATTTGCAGCTGGTAGGACTTATTTTCCCCAGAGAAGGAAAATAGAACCGACAGAGGCAAGGGTACAGCAGTGACTTATCATGTATTTTTCCACACAGGCTGTGTCCTGCCATTGATTGTAAATTGATTATATATATACAGATAAATTGAAGAATGTCTCATTTGTGGAGTTAAGGTCAGCACTAGAATGGTCCTCAGTGATCCCGCCTCCTGGTGCTCCCACCTTTGTGTAATCCCCTCCCCTCATGTAGGGGCTGGACCTCCAGAGTCACTTCCCTAACAAATAGAACATGGCAGAAGTGGCGAGATGTCACTTCTGAGACTGCGTTACAAAAAGCCTGTGGCTTCCAACTTGGACTCTGCCCCTCCTCTCCTCCCCTCCCCCTTCTCCCACTTCCTATCTTGGTTGTCATTATCATCTTCCATACCATGAGAACACTCAGGCAGCCTATGGAGAGGCTCACAGAGAGGAAATGAGGCCTCCTGCCAACAGCCCCTTGTGTGAGCTTGGAAGTGGAATCTCCAACCCCAGTTGCATCTTGAAATGACAATTTGATGGCATCTCCTCAGAGATCTTGAGTCAGAGGCACTTGGCTACATTGTGCCCAGGTTCTTGATCCGCAGAAACCATGAGAGAATAACTAGTTGTTGTTCTGGGGTAAATTTTTTTGTTTTTTGGCTGCACCGAATGGCCTGTGGGATCTTAGTTCCCTGACCAGGAATTGAGCCCCCTGGGTCACCAGGAAAGTCCTGTTTCGGGGTAATTTGTTATTCAGCAAGGACTTCCCAAGTGGCGCTAGTGGTAAAGAACCCATCTGCCAATGCAGGAGACATAGGAGACACGAGTTTGATCCCTGGGTCGGGAAGATCCCCTTGAGGAGGAAATGGCAACTCATTCCAGTATTCTTGCCTGAAGAATCCCATGGGCAGAGGAGTCTGGTGGTCTTCAGTCTGTAGAGTCAAAAAGAGTCGGACACGACTGAAGCAACTTGGCATGCATGCACATTGTTCAGCAATAGATAATTAATACAGAAAGTTTTATAATTGTATAATCAGTGTATAAGTTTATAAGCTGAAATCTAATCAAATCATTTGTTTTCTTCTGAAAAAGTTGTAGAAAGTCACAAGACTGAAAGCCCTCTCCATATGTCTCTCTCTGTCTCTCTCCCTGTCCTCTCTTTCTCTCTTTTATGGGAATAAACAACTATAATTACACTTTAAGCAATATATCATAAAGATCAACCATAGGGATTGCAATGCTAATTCGATTTAAAGAAAACAGAGAGAAAGAATTAAAAGATGTTACTTCATAAATTAGGCTTTCTTTAAACATTTGATCTTTGATGATGTATTTCATTTTTTTTGGACAGTGTATTTCTTATAAACATGGTGTGTATGTGCCTCTGTCTGCGTGCGCATGTGTGTGTGTGTGAACATGCTGTGTTTAGTTTAATGCTTGGTCAGGCTTTCATTCTTGATGTAGGAATGGAGGGATGGGAGTATTGACATGCGGCTCCAAAATGGCCTATTAGTTAAATTTAGGGATAAAAGACTTTTTGCCCTTGACATTTATATATACTTTATACTGTTTTTTTTTAAAATCTGGTTTGCTGTTTTATAAATAGTATTATAACACCCTGTTTTCAGGGTATAGGAATTAAAATTTAAGTGTTACTTTGATTCTCCTTCTATCAGTGAAATATTTTAAAATATTTGACAAGCAATTATCATAACATATGGTTTCAAACATTTTTGGCTTTCCCAGAGAGTGAACAGAATGTGAAAATGCTCATTTCTTTTGAGGGCAATAAAGCATTTCTTATTATTATCACAAATATGATTAAAACTATGTGGTAGATTTTTATAAAATCATGTCACTTTAAAAGTGAAATGGACATTACCACAATAAAGGAAGAAAATACCTTTTCAGTGTGGCATGTCAAAAGGTAAATAAATTAGCCAACTCAAAATGTGGCTTTTTCTTAAAGCATTTTTATCTCCCCATCTTTTGAGTGGTTTCTATGCTTATGAACTTCCAGGCCCTTTCTCAGTAACAGTCACCAAACAGGCTTGAGCACCTACTGAATACCTTCACCAAGTACTACATAAGAGAAAAGCAACACAAACAAACAAACAAATAGGACAGGGTCTCCCATGCTCAAGAAGCCCATGATCAAGCAGAAAAGATCAAACATGGAACTGAAATGGTTGAAGTTTGCTTTTCCTGAGTAATGATGACATGTGTGAGTAAACAAGTGCAGATTACTCTTGAATTCTGAAAAAAATTACACCTAATTATACAGAGATTTTTACCCAGGTAAAATATGATTCTTGATACAATATTGCTTTGCATCTTTGTTCTTGCTATTTCCTTTGCCTAGAATACCTTTGCCCTCCATCTTCACCTGATGAAATTCTCTCTCACTTAAGGCCTAGTTCGAATGCCCCTAATTCCATGAGGCCTAGGCTTATTCCATCTTGGCTTATCTGTTGCACTGGAAAAACTAACTCACCCAGGTCTCTGGTCTAGAATCCCATGAGTCACACTTCTTTCATCTCTTGATCACTTCTCTTTGGTATCCTTTGTTGTTTCTATCTCTTTTTTGCAACTGTGCCTTGAAGATTGAATGTTAGGGAGTTTTCATTCTCTGATCCTAATCGCCTAGATTCATGTCATCTTCCCAAGGCTTTATCTCCCAGTAATTACCTCTTATACCCTTTTCTTGAGCTCTAGTTCAAGGAAGCTCAATTTCTTGAACTAATTCCTGGACATGTTCCCTTGGATATCACTATCATCTCCAACTCAACCTGTCCAACCCGGACTCATCTTCACCCCTATCCTCTACCCTCATTCCAGTTTCCTTGCTTAAAGCCAGAACTGACCATGTCTTCTGAGCTTCCAGGGCTCTAAATGATGACATCTTCTTTGATTCAGTCTCTTCTTTTTCACCTATATCCTGTCAGACAATCAGGGCTTAGCTACAATCTCGTGGCCTCCATGAAGCCTGTCTTTTCTGCTCCAGGGTCTGGAGTATGTCACACTCCAAATTTGCCTGCACAGCTCAATTTCTCTCTTGATCAGGAATGGGGCTTCTATAGACATTTAACTGTTTCATAGGCTAAAATGAATGAAGTCTTGTTGTTCTTCACTTGAAATCATTCTCATTTTTATCTCTTCCTACACCTCCCCCTGTTTGTTCTTCTCATGTCCTGTCACCTAACTTACAGCCCTAACCCACTACGTGTCTTCCCATCAACAGTGCACTTACTTGCCCTGTGCCAGTTCTTAGGCTCATAAAGGATGCCCCTTGTCCTACTTTCTGCTTAGCCAACTCCTCCTTATCTTCTAAGAGTGAGATCACTGCCGGTCTCAACCAGGAAATCTTCCTGGACCTTTCAACCCAACTGGAAGCTTCTCCTCTCTGGGAGGGAGTGTTAAGTGTAGGGGAGGAAAATGCATTTCGGAGCTAGTCCAACCTGGGTTTGAATCCCAGTGATGTTACGTATTAACTGTCTAGCCTCAATTTCTCTGAGACTCAGGTTCCTCATCTAGAAAACAGAGAAAATAATTTTTATCTTGCAGAGCAGTTGGGAGGATTAGATAAGGTCATGTGTATAATGTGTCAGGCATATGGTAACAACTGTTATTAGCAAGTAGGTCTTGAGTGTCCTCCAAGGCTGATACGTTGCACAGCCCCAGGGGGTGTCTCCACGAATACTGTCCCTTGAGGTTGTCAAGTGCACAACTTGCATATGTAGTCCAGGTCTACTATATCTAGTACTGACAGTTTGCTATGTTATTTATAGGTGTTTTAGTGTTTAATAATCCATAAACTTCTGAAGAAAGGATGGGGAAGGGCAGTCCTCATTCTCTTGTACACAGCCTTGTTTATTGCTACTTTTCTACCCCATTTCTCACCGCTGTCAACTGCCCTCCACTCCAATTGCATTGGATTAAACTAATTGTAGTTTCTCTGATGGCCACATCCCTGATCCTCAGGCCTCTGAACAGGCCCATTCTCTGGGCTAGAATAGTTTCTAGCTCTTTAGGCTTGTTTACTTGTCTTCTCCTGATTTGATAGTGTTAGTCTTGTTCACCAATGCATGTTCAGCATCTAACATAATACCCGGAATATAGGATGAGGGTGTTGTTTGTTGAATGAACACATTGTTTTCAGGGATTGTTACCTAGTTTTCCTCCAGAAGGGGCAGGAGATTTTTAAGTGAACAGCTGTGTTTCTTCGATGGCCATGACTGCGATATACTGGGTATTTTTCCCCCCTCCCTAATTTGTATGTTGAAATCCTAACCCCCAATGTAATAGTTTTAGGATGTGGGGCCCTTGGAAGGTAATTAGGTCATGAGAATTGAGTCTTCATGAATGGGATAAGTGCACTTATAAAAGAGACCCAGAGAACTCACTGTTGAATAAACTGATGTACCTTCCCTTTGCAAGTCTTTGAGAACAGTAATGGATAGCCAGGCTTGGCTGAAAAATTTCTGATCACATAAGTTGGGCAACTTTTCAGAGTACTATCGGTCCGTGACTGAGTATAAGATCTACCCCTTGGCCTCAGGAGTTTACCTTCTAGTTGGTGGGATGTGAGTTGAGTGATTCCTAGAACCACTGGTGGTTTATAAATCACTAGTGTGAATTCTGCCTTCCATGGACAAAAAGTGATACAGAAAAGTGATAGATCAAATTAAGAAGGTATGTGGCTAATGCTAAGTTGGGTGGTGTAGAGTTTCAGGGACATGCGTAGACAGATGGAGGGATTCATTGGGGGCCCTTAAAGGAGAGAGAAGTCATCTTAGAGAAAGGACCAGGCACTCATATTTGTAAAGCACTTAGATGAGTGTCTGGTGCATAGTAAAAGCTTTGTGTTTATGAAACACAAGTAAAAGTAAAAGTATGTGTTTATGAAATAAAAATGCCCAACTGATATTTCTATGCCAGAAGGATTTTATTTTTTGCCTAAGAATATACAAAAAATCTTTTTTAAAAAGCTCATTCATGAAATCACCATGAGTTGTTCTTTCTCAGAAGCACACATGGGAGGGTCATAAGAGCTTCTATTTGTCTGCTTGGTGACGTGGGGCTCGGCTCTGCCCTCTTTCATTGTAGACACAACGCAGACAATAGCAGTTGGGCCTTTGGCTGGACTGTGACAAGGTGAACACTTCATAGCATGTCTCGCCATTTTGGGTTGTGATCCCTTCATTGGGGGTCAAGTTCCTGGAGCAGGCCATTGTGAGCCATGGGGAACATATCGGGGCAGTGCATGACACTGGAATCACATACTTAGATGAGGTACGCTTGGAAGTGTAGTATATCTCGGTGCTGTAGAGAACTGTGTCCTGAGAGATAGCCTTGGCCCTGATACCACATTCTGTCACACGGTAGGTGAATTGGTAGGCATATGGCTGAACATGGTTGGCAGGGCAACCCAGGCCCAAGTGTAGCTCATGGAAATGCACATATACGTCGTTGTTCAACATGAAGGGGTGTACCGTGACCATGAACCAGTCTGTGGAGCACAGTACAGTCATTGGATTTTGTCCGAAACAGGCTGAAAACACAGAGGCGAGGATGATCAGCCCTCTTATCAGCTCGAAAACTTTCATTCTGGTAGCTTATCAGGTAACGACTCTCAGGAAACAGGAAGCTATCCCGTGAGGAGTTCTAGAACACACAAAAACACAAAAGATAAATCATTGTATTTCTTATGGTAAGTTCAAACATGACCATTTAAAAAAAAAAACAAAAGGCCAGGGATTTCCTTGGTGGTCCAGTGGTTAAGATTCCTTGCGTCCTCTGCAGCGGACATGGGTTCAATTCCTGGTCCAGGAACTAAGATTCCATATGCTACGCAGTGCAGCCAAAAAAAAAAAAAAAAAAAAAGAGGCCATTCTTAAAGCATTGGAAAAAAAAGTGAAGAGTAGAACTTAAATGTTTTCACTGAAAAGAAAAAAAGCTAAGCATGTGAGGTGAGGGATATGTTTAATTAACGCAATAGGGGGAATTCTTTCACAGCATAAATGTATGTCAGATCAACATGTTGTATACTTTAAATCTCTGCCAATTTTATTTGTTTATTATATCTCAATAAAACTGAAAAAAAAGAAACAAAGGAAAATATTGTTGTGAGAGAGAACTGAATTTTTATTTCATTGTTGGAACTCATGGGTTTCTAGATAACTATGATAATTTCTTTAAATAACTTTACCATGTTGTTTTGGTATAAAACACAACTCCCTCACATATACAATGAAAGTCTACACTGATTAGGAGTAGCATTCCTTTGTGTGCAACCCCAACAAAAAAGAAAACAAAACTGTTTTCATGCCAAACATTAAATAAGGTGACAGAAAATAACAGTTTAATTCAAGCTGACAGCACTTTCCTCCTGAAGGCCCCAATGTCCTCCCCTATACCATGCTAATGAACTCTTCTCTATTGCCTTCTTTTGGTTAGCAACAAATTTAATTAAATGAAAACCCAGCAAGAAATTGTGGTTTATTTCCAACAAACAAGTGGCTCACTTAAAGTGATCAAATGAATGCTTTAAAAATGCCAGCAGTAGCATCATAGGCCATTAAAACCAACAGATTCCCTAATATATTCCTCAGGACACCTTGTAAAATAGTGAAATTGCAGAAATAAAAACATAATGGTTTATTTTGACATTTCCCCATCCATATTACACATGAAAACTATGCAAAAGTCCCATATTGAAGAAAACAAGTCATGGGTTTGCACTTTACACATTGATTGTCAAGGCATCTCTTAAGGTGTTCTCTGTGGCCATGGCTTGCACCTCATAGAGTCATATGCTTTGCTTGACATTCTTTTATTTCACTGGTCTTTTAAATTTATTTTCTTTTTCAATAGGAAGATTTCTAGCCATTTCCCAGTCCTATTGCTTTTACCTCCTAAAGAGTGACAGGCAGAGTAATAAAAAGGAGTCATGCTAAGAACAAGTGTCTAAAGCACTGCTTCAGAAGGGGTACGCATGAAGAAAGAAGGAAGGAACAGGAATATCATCACATATTGTTCAACTCAGCTTTCATTTTAAAAGTGAAAATAGAATAAATCAAATAGAAAAGTGCCTAAAATTTCAAAGGAAATGTCTATGCAGGGTTTACTTTTGTTCCTTGATGAGTTAAGTAATCCTTGAGTAAATGAACTCATTTGATCTATTGAGTGTCTACTATGTGCCCAGCACTGTGCTAAATAAAAAGCATCCTAAGACAGTTCTTTCTCCCCCTCTTTCTCAGTTGCTAAAATGCAGCTCTTTCTCTTCCTTTGTTACTGATGAATTTGCTGTTTTCTTTAATGGCAGAGGAGCCCACTATCCAGGTGCTGTGGCCTGGATGAAAAGTTTTGTTTTCATGTCAGCACTTGATCTGATTGGTGCCGCTGTCTTTCCCTCCCTTGTTACTGACTCCTTATTCTCTTGAGGATATTGAGGCGTAAAGAGAAGCCTGAGAGGTTTACCTGGCTCCTTCCTTTCCTCTTTGTCCTGAAATGTCTCTCTTAAGGCTACTTTTTGGTTTGTTTTTCACAAAGCAAAAAAGGAAAAAAAAAGAAAAAATCAACCAAGAACAACAGTAGCAACAAACCGAACACTCAACCTTCTTACCCTCCAAAAAACCAACCAAACAAAACACAGTGATGATGACCACAGCAACAACAAAAACCAAGTCAATTCTGATGCCAGCTGCTCCTGTATAATGACTCAACAGCTAAATAAACAAGCTACTTGCTCCAGAATGATGTGTATTTGCTGAGGTTGCTTCTGGAAGCTGAAGTCATCACTCCATCACTGCTGCACTATTGTCTGGGTCTCAGGAAGATCACCTTCTCCTGAGCTCACTTTAGGAGTGTCTTTCTCTCTCTCTCTCCCCCTCTTTCCTCCTTCCTTCATGTCGTCTCACAGTCTGGACCTATTTGCCCTGAGCAAAAACCTCCCTTTTAAGCACTTCCTGGAATAGGTCAGGGAAACAATCCTTCCACTCTAGTTTTGTTGTTCAAACCCCCAAAACTGAGACCAAGTTTAAGGCTGTGTTCTCATCCAGGGAGTTAGCCATCCACTTCTTCTCCTTCCCTTGAACATCTTTTCTGTCTTCCCTTCTCCTCCTTCTCATGGTTAATCCAAAGAGAATTATAAAAAGCCCAGATTGTCTGAGAAACATTACAGTTGCCCCCAACCAATCATTTTAGACTACCTCACTCTCACCCCCAATATTAACTTTTTGAATTAAGTTCACTGAATCAGTCTTGAAGGAAGGGGTTTAGTAAACATCACTGAGTTTGGGAGTTTATTTAGCATAGGACAGAATTTGTTTCCTCTGATTTTCTTGTAACCACAAGATTGCCACAAGATTAGAGCAATAAATGTGTGTGACAACATAGTTTGGGCTCAGATAAAACTGAAAAATGAAGTTAGTGGGACCTATGTTTAAGACTGCATCTCTAGGGACTTCCCTGGTGGTCCAGAGGTTAAGACTCTGTGCCTCCAATGCAGCGGGTGCTGGTCCGATCCCTAGTTGGGGAACTAAGATCCCATAAGCTGTGTGTGACCAAAGGAAAAAAAAGTGGCTGCATCCCTAAGGTGAGAGAGAGGAGTTGGGACATCACGAGAGAGCAGAAGGCACTTGCTAATGAACTTGCTAAGGCTTAGCTTGATGCCGCTCTTGGGGAGTTGCTCCGTTTTGCTGAGCACAGGTCATCAGAAGTGGGCAGCCTCCCTTCCCTAATGCTTGCAATTCCCAGGGAAGTTAGAGGGTGTGTGTGGGAGTGTGGGTGTGAGTTAAGGGATGGTTATAACTCATTCACAACACAGTGTGAATTCATCAAGTCAGCAACCCTTTCTAACATCCAGCTGAGATGTGCTGGTAGAATGGGATCTTGGACTTGACTGGGGAGGGAGAGGGTGGGCTTTGATTACAGGGTGAGGGGGAGCAGAGGAAAAAGAGGGTTAAAGGGCTAAAGATGGGAAGGGGGTGAGAGAAGAGAGGGCTGTGCGGGGATGCCAAATGAGAGCTATTTTTAGCCATAGTTGGGTCTGTGCACAGCATCTCAGGAGCTGAGGGAGTTGAGATTTGGGGAAGGAATAACTGCAGAGAGGGGAACGCTCACCCTGGCTTCTTAGAGGAGGTTGGACTGTTAGAAAAACTGCAAATTATCCCTGTGACATCCCAGGATCTATGAGCTTCGATGCATTTGTATAACCAAACAGGGCTCAGCTATTGGTACCTACAGTCCTGAACTGAACTATAGAGAGGCCAGCAAATCCAGAGCTGCTAATGACACGTGGATGCAAAATGTTTGCTTTCCTTGCAGCTATAGAGTACAGTAGCTTTCTGTTTTTCTAAATGTGGTTTATGCATACACAGTTTCCATCAGTCCTTTCAAAAGAGTTTTCCTTCTTTCCCCTTTTAAAAAAATTCCCTAATAAGCCTAAATCTTAATACATCTTTTACATTTAAAAAAAAAACATGAAACGTTTCATTCTGGGAATATGAACTCTATTTCTTAATGTCTTACAAGAAAGAGATTGAATATTGGTCTAAACACAGAGCGTTTTCAATCTCAGAGAAAAGAAGATACTTTTTAAGAGAGACAAAAGCTGAAGTCCAACTTAGTCTTGTGATGTTGGTGAGCTAATGGAGATGTATAACACAAATCTCCTCGAAAGCAGACAGGACTTTTGCCTCCCCATCGCCTCTGATGTCGTTAAAGACACATATGAACTCTTTGCATGGGGAATGGGGAGGGGAATTAGCTAAACATTTCCACATCTGGTTTGAGAACAGTTTGGAAAAAGAATTCACTCCATAGGCTCCTGGAAGCTTTTGGGGTCGACAGTTATTTATTTTTAAAATTCAGTATACTCATGACAGCAGAGTTATCACTTGTATATTGTTTTCCCAGAATCTTGTTGTCAAAACAAAAGGAAACAGAGGGGAAAAGGAAACTCCAAGGCAGTATGCAATTATCTCAGGGAAATATAACTGTCAGGGCATTGATTTGCAGCAAAGTTTGTTCACGCTCTTGCAGCTGATTTGAAGAAAAATGAATCTGAGTTGGAATAAAAATCCTTCTAAAAAATAAACACATAAGAATCCTAACACTCTGTGGACCCTTTAGTTTAGAAATTCAAATAGTCACATGTTGACTTTGCCCAGCCAACTATCTCAAAGCTTGGGAGCCTTTTAAAATTGAGGCCCACTTTTAAAAAATTACTTGGTTTGCTGCTCTCAAAGAAAGTGAGCATTGTGATTATATTAATGATGCTGAAGATTCATTAAGGTGAGTTAGAAAATTTAATTACTGCTTTTGTAGAATTTACATTCATTCTAAAGAAATCTGGGCCCAGTTTCGTTTTCTAGCCTCACGAAGCAAGCTGTTAAAGTAACCACACATTATTCATTGTTTGGTGAGGAAGAAGAATTAGGAACTGCTAATGCTTAACAATGTCCATTCTCTCAACTGAGGAAAACACCTTGACTCAACCCTAGGAAAGATTTCATTCAAATTAAACTAATCATTAAAAGTGTTTTTTTCCCTCTGATTCTAAAGGTGGAAACAGTGGAGGGAAAAAACTGTAGAAAAATTGGGA